AAAGCATGACTCGCAAGGTACTAAGTCCTTTGGTTGCTCGCCGAAGAGGCCGTCCATGTACGAATGATGCAATAGTCAATTGGTTGAAGGGAAAGAATAAGAAGGCTAATCCGATACAGGTATATTTTTCATTCCGCAGTACATATGTATATTGCAGAATTTGTTAAACTTCAAATATTCATCAATGTGTAGTAGTATAGGGTCAGAAGGTATGTCAAGGTGAACCTTGCAAGTTAAGCTTTCCTTGTATGGGAGGCGTGCAACACACTATGTATGAACCGGTACATGTTAAATATGAAGGTTGTTTCGTGTTTTTTATTTTGGCTTTTAATTTTAGTGCTTGAAATTAGTAATTAACTTGTGTTACTATTTCATCATTAGTTGCCGCCAAGTCAACCTTACTATTGTCCTTCTATGGATGCCATAGCAGACCCTTTCTTTGTTTTTTGTCACTTGATATTGGTGAATATGTTTGTGAAATTTTTTTTATTATTATTTACTTTATTTTTACAAGCACCAGTTACCGCAAGTGGGGACGACATTGGGAGCATATCTCATACTGAAGCTGGAATGGTCAACAATATTAGCAGTCAAAGATCGATAGTACCGTCATATTTTGTTGACTTGAACATCGACGGGGATCCGAGCGTCCCATATTTTTGAGTTGAATGAATTGAAGGTCCCATATTTTTGAGTTGAATGAATTGGATATTTTTTTTTATTCTTAGAAATGGTTCTGTAGTGCTTGTTGATTCTGTTAGAAATGTTGATTCTGTAGTGGTTGTTTATTCTTAGAAATTTCATTTGTTGATTATGTTTATTCTTAGAAATGGTTTTGTTAACCAATAGACATTGTTAATGCTTGTTTATGCTTTGGGACCTTGTTGATGCTTTGCTTGATGTATTGAGCAACCACAGAGATAAAGTAGCTTCATAATGTCATTCACTATGATCGTGATGAAGATCAAATGTTGGTGATTGATTCTGGAGCGTCATAAGTCTGATGCAGTGAATGAAATCTATTCAATAAGTCTGTTGAATGTGATCTGCAATTTGTCTTTGGCAGCCAATAAGTCTGTTCAATAAGTCTTCTGCTGGCATCAGGTTTTTGTCTATTCAATAAGTCTTATGCTGCAACTTCATTGATTTAAATGATGAAGTATTTTCAGTCAATATTTTTTATTAGTAATAGTATGATTAGTTTGAAAAAGAATAACTGCTTTGATTCATGTTTTCACTTATACCGATTCATTTTAAGTTTTTAGCAGTTAGAAGTTGATGAGTTGAATGTTACAGGTGAACTCTGCAAATCCTGGAAGAATGGATTCATTTCCTGTAGCTCACAGCATTTCAAAATATGGGAAGTTCATTGAAATGACCCTAGAATAAAAATATGGGAAGTTCTGCAAATCCAGGTGAACTAGGACTTGTGAAGTTCACCTGTGAGCTACAAGAAATGAAATGACCCTACATTTCCTGTAGCTCATAGATTTCACAGCATTTCATTCAACAGATTTCATGAGAAATGACCCTGTTCATTCAACAGATTTCACACATTGTTCATAATCAATACACACTGTTCATTCAACAGATTTCACTCAACAGATTTCATGAGAAATGACCATTTTCATTCAATAGATTTCATGTCAAGTTCAACTTGTTATACACCTTCAACCTGTTCAACTTGTTCATTCAATACATTGTTAATCAATACACCTGAGTCATTTCCAAACCATCACATACAATACACAATGTTAAGCAACCAACTGTTCATTCAACAAATTTCACACATTGTTCATAATCAATACACACTGTTCATTTAACAGATTTCATGTCAAGTTCAACTTGTCATACACCTTCAACCTGTTCAACCTGTTCAGCCATTGTCCAAAAAAATACATTGTTAAGCACCTGTTCATTCAAGACCCTGTTAATCAATACACCTATTTTTCCAAACCATCAGATTTTTAAGTAGAAAAGTACAAAACCTAACAACTACAAAAGTAGATTACATTCATAGCATGTTCCAAAACCTAACAACTGAGTCATTTACATTATAAAGTACAAAAATACACAAAATACAATGACATAAGTCATTGCCTTGAAAATCTTCTCCATCCTTTGAAGCCTTCTATCATGCTCATGAATTGCATTCTCCATGTCACCAAGCCTAATCCTTAGATCATTAATTTTTTCTGTTCTTGAATCCGTCCGAGGTCCAGCATTCGCACGGATTGTAGAGGTAACGTCGTCGTCGTCATCATCTGCAAACCTGAAGTAATTGCAATGTTCGTTCACACTCTACAATGCACAAGAATCAATTAATCAATAAATGACAAATGAAATTTGTAAAAAATAAAGGATTAATTTATATAACAGATATTTATATATTTTGTTGGGCAAACAAAAAACACACGTCCTTCATTTCCATTCTCATTGGTTCGTACAATATGCATGGAAACTATTCTTCCACATTACACAATCTTGGCTTTAATCTTATGGTCCTATTATTAGTAGAAGATGAAGTTATTTTTTTATCTGCATAACAAAAACCAACAGATTCAACTACCTATTAGTAGAAGATGATGTTCTTCCTATTTTTTTATCTTCCAAGCTATTCTACTTATTAGTAGAAGATGATGATTCAACTACCTATTAGTAGAAGAGGATGATTCAAGTACCTACCAACAAATTCAACTACCTATCAACAGATTCAACTACCTATTAGTAGAAGATGATGATTCAACTACCTATCTGTTTCAAACAGAGACAGATGTCTTATTAGGTTAATCTGGAATTAATTTTGATAACAGAGTTCAATTTTGATATGTTGAATTAACCAGGTTAATCTTGATAACAGAGTTCAATAATGAATTAATTTGATTAACAGGTTAATCTTGAATCAATTTTTCACAAAACTCTATTTAATCGGTTAAATTAAGATAACAGAGTTCAATATGTTTTTCATACGCAAAACATTGCATTGTTCATTGCATTAATTTTGAAATTATTTAACATAGGAACATTTCATGAAATTCAGGAACATTTCATCAATTTTTCACATAACATTTTATGAAGATTAAAAATTAATTCAAGATTAACCAAGAATCCTGTTCATTCATAAATGACCCTGTTCATTCAACAGATTTCAAGAACGTTTCATCTATTTTTCACATAACATTTCATGAAGATTAAAAATTAATTCAAGATTAACCTGTAATTATACAAGACTAACATTGCAATGCATTCATACTCTACAAGATTAATTCATGACAAAATTAACATTACATGAATTAATTATACAAAATTAATTCAACAAATTCATCCAAGACAACCTTGAAGCAATGTATGAATGCATTCAAGATTAACATTGCATGACCAAACTCATGACAGATATGTATTTCAAGCAAAACCCTAACCCTAACCCTAACCCTAACCCTAACACAAATTGCAAGCAAAATCCCAAACCCTAACACATCACAAATTAAAGCCAAATCCCAAACTGTAACACAAATTGCAAGCAAAATCCAACCCTAAACACTACCAATCGACTAATTTTTCGATTTCAGGTTTACCCTAACTTAAACCCTAACTTTGCGATTTCAGGTTTGCCTCAGATTCGCTGTCGTTCGTCCTCCATCGTGGTTCGTCGTCCTCTGTCATCGTTCGTCCACTGTCTCACCGTCCTTCATTCCCGTTTCGTCGTCTCCTTCAAGAGACAAGTGAGACAGTCGAAAGTGAAGAGATAGAGAGGAGAGAGAGGCGAGAGTGAATGAGAGGGATGAGGCAAGAGAGGTGAGAAGGATGAGGCGAGAGTGAGAGAGAGGTGGTATCAATTTTGAGGTGGTATAGTCGAGTTGAGAGGGACGAGATCGAGAGGAGAGAGAAATTTGTCCTTTCGAGCCATTCGAGCCTGAAATATTCGAGCTACGGCTCATTTGACAAAGTCAACCCCACGTCCAAATGAAGACAAAGAACCACTTTTGCTTTGCCTCTCTAGCTTGTTGAGATCCACACTCTTCTATAACACGCCAAGAAACCAGCATCCATCCGGAGACTAGAGGCCGCTGCCACTCATTACCAATCCATAATAGGTTCCCCTTTCTGTTTTTACTTGCAAACAATTATTTATTTATTTCTGATTCAAGAAGTCTATGTGGCTTTCGATTCGAGTATTTTTTCTGTTTATTTGACTTAATCCTCAATTTGTTCAGATCATATGTCAAAAAAATAAGAGATCAAATAGAGATGGAGATGGAGGATTAGTTACGTGGGTTAGTTAGTTAAGTTTATGGGTCAATAGCTGAAGAAGAAGAAGAAGTTCCATGGGTCAATAGCTGAAGAAGAAGAAGAAGTTCCATGGGTCAATAGCTGAAGAAGAGGATTAGTTCCATGGGTCAATAGTCGAAGAAGAAGAAGAAGTTGTGGTGTGCTGACTTGGATCGTTTCTATAATTTTTTAACATTTAACAGCTCCTCCTGAGAAAACTAAAGATCCACATTGATGTTGAGATTGAGATTGTGAGAGAGAGATGGGTGATGCTGCAATCGATTCTCTCTTGGAGAACCTGAAGTGGATAAAGGCCAATTATGATCTTCGACCTGAGATTGATCTACTCTACAAGGTTACAGAGGTCATAAAAGGGCTGGAATTAGTCTGGGAAGGTGAGGGCAATTTTTACTTGCATCACGACATTAGTCTATATAAACGTCTTGAAGACATGGCTCTCAGAATGAAGGTGGTGGGTTCAATACTCTCTCTTTGGTGTCATAGTAATCTTGCCAATTTTACTCATGTCATAGAAGAGATTAAGCAAATCATGGTTGTTGTGACAGAGATTTATGGCAACCTGTGTAAACGTAATCAAATGAGGAAAAGGGAAGGTCCAAGTATTCTGAGAAGAATCGACAAATTCAATCTCTCTAACAATTTGCGTCACTTAATTGTAATATGCGAGGCCTGTTTAATTTATGGTGAGATGGATCAACTAGGCACTCTTTGCAAGCACCTACAAATCATGAGATCACTTCTCAAGGGAATGCTGATGAAACACTATCAGCATGACCAAGTCCAATATCTAGTGAAACGTATTGGAGTCGTGGCTTCCGAATTGGAATTGGTGGTTTCAAATCAGTCTCACTTGGAGAACTCCAGTTGTTTCCACATGCGTGTTTTCTTCTCAAAGATCAATGGTGTTATGGAAGAAATTAAGGCTGTCATGGAGGGGCTGATTGAGATTTATGACAAGATGCATGATATTGAGGTCTTGCAAGGTGGAAAGTCTTCTGATACTAGTGGTTCATCAAGAACAAAAACCACCATGGTAGAGGATGAATTTGTGGTGGGCTTTGATAATGAGGCAATGAATATAAAAGAGCGACTTACGGGAGGAATGAAGCAGCTAGAGGTTTTCTCAATCATTGGGATGCCTGGACTCGGTAAGACAACTTTAGCCAGAAAAGTGTACAATGATCCTTATATTGCACATTACTTCCATTTGCGTGCATGGACCTATGTTTCTCAATCACACACAAAAAAGGAAATGTTGCTTGACATTTTGCATTCTCTTATGAACCTTACGGATGAAATTAAAGCAATGAACGATGAATATTTAGGGGAAAGACTGTACAAAAGGTTAAAAGGTAAGAGATATTTCATTGTCATGGATGATATCTGGAATATTGGTGCTTGGGATGATATTAGAGTATATTTACCAAATGACAGCAATGGAAGTAAAGTTTTGTTCACTAGTCGGACAATGGCGGTGGCTTTGCGTGCTAAACCTGATGGCCATCCTCACTGTCTACGATTTCTAACTGAAGAAGAAAGTTGGGAGCTGTTACATGAGAAGGTGTTTCGGAATGAAAACTTCCCTCCAGAACTAATGGAATTTGGTGAGCAAATCATGAAAAAATGTGAAGGACTACCACTTGCAATTGTTGTAATAGCAGGACTTCTCGCAAAGAGTGAGAAGACAAAAGACCGGTGGAAACATGTTGCTGCAAGTGTGAGATCATGCATTAGCAGTGATCCAAACCAATACATGAACACATTAGCACTGAGTTATGACAACCTGCCTCAACACCTGAAACCATGCTTTCTCTACCTTGGAGCATTTCGGGATGATCATGAAATTCCTGTTTGGAAGTTGATTTTGTTATGGATTGCTGAGGGATTTATACATCCAATTGGGCAAAGAAGGTTAGAGGACATAGGAGAGGGTTACTTAATGGATCTAATTGACAGAAGTCTGGTAATAGTTTCAAGAAAAAAGTCTAATGGGGGAATTAAAGCATGTCGTATTCATGATCTTTTGCGTGATTTGTGCTTGAAAAAATCTGAGGAGTTCAATTTCCTAAAGCGGAGTCATGAGAATAAACTTGTTTCTTCGTCATCTTCAAGTAATGGGTCAAATAACCAACTTCGCTTGTGCATTCATTCTGACTGCTTAAATTTTGATGGGGTTTCAAAAATAGACCCTAATGTTCCAGTCACTGAATCATTTAATCCCGATGACTTAAATTTTGATTGTATTTCTATGGAGCCTTCTTGCCCAGTTGCTCGGTCATTCTTGTGCTTTGGCAATTCAGATGGCACTCCTTTACATGTTGATCCTACTTTTTATGCCTCAGACTCCAAAACCAGTGTATCAAGTGAAAGAATGCGCTACCTTTCTGAAGTCTTTCATGACAGAGATGCGTTGAAAGAACGTGAAAAACTTTTGTTTCGAAGTAAGTGTCTTCTCTTTGTTGATGGATATTCTTTCCTGAAAGGTAGGGATCCATCTCTATGGTACTCAATCTTTGTAGATAATTGTTTTGATTCCAATCCAAGAGATGAGTCACTTCTTCAAACTTTTATACTTCTTCAAGTGTTGGATTTATCGTGCCGCAACGTATTCTTTTTCCGTGAAATACTACATCTAGTTTATTTAAGGTACTTGGCAATTCAGACTGATGATTTTTATGTATTACCACCATCAATATCCAACCTCTCAAACCTAGAAACCCTTATTCTTGGTACACGGTCATCCCATGTTATTGTGCCAAATGTTGTTTCAAAGATGGCAAAGTTAAGGCATCTTTATTGTAAAGGAGGGGTGTATCATATTGACTTTGATTGTCCTAAATTAGTACCATTGGTCGATGATTACTATCCCTTTGTGTTGAAAAACCTGGAAACCATCTCTTACATGTGTCCTTGTGGAGCTGTTCAGGATTTATTGTCAAGGACTCCTAATCTTAGAAAGCTGGGATTTCGTGGACATTTGATATCAATGTCGGGGGATTTGGAGCTTCCGGATCTATGCGGTTTAATCCATCTTGAGACCTTGAAGTTGGACAATAGGGCCCCTGTTCAATCATCTGCTCTCCAACTGGATGGTGTGTGTTTGTCAAACGCTCAACTTGTGTGGCCCACAAATCTTAAGAGTCTAACCTTAAGAGGCACAAGGATAAAGTGGGAGCAGATGTGGATGATTGGCTTGCTACACAACCTTGAAGTTCTCAAATTAGAAATAAATGCTTGTCAGGGACCGGAATGGAAAACAATTAATGGGGGCTTTCATCAACTCAAATTCTTGAAATTCAAACTCTTTTCTGTTGAACGATGGATTACCTCTAGTACTCACTTTCCACGCCTTCAACATTTGGTGTTTGAAAATTGTGTACTTCTTGAGGAGATACCATCTGAAGTAGGTGACATCCTCACCTTGCAGATAATTGAGGTAAAATTTTGTTCCCTGTTTGCTGATCATTCTGCCAGGAAAATTAAGAAAGAGCAAGAGAGCTTGGGAAATAATCAGCTGAAGATCCTGATTGACAACCAAGAATGGTTGGTGAGAACCTGTAAGTCAGTGCATCATTATTATTCTTAAACTTATGTCCTTAATTTAATTATAGAATTCATTATATCAATCGAAGGATCTAATGCATGTTTGCTGGCACAATAACCCACACTGTATATGACCTATTGAAATAGAGTTCTATGCATTGTGGAAAATTATGTTTTTAAGGTTGCAATTGAGTAGCCCCCTTTTTTCTTTTTTCTTCCAAATGTCTGTGCTTGAAAGAAGAAAGCAGAGACCTTTCTTTTAGGTCTGCTCTGTTTGATGCCAACCACTATAGGCTATAACAATTATTGACTAATTTCGGCACTAAAACCACTGATGCTGGACAAGTGGTGTAGGATAGCTTCAATAGGAAGTCGAAGCGACTTCAACAAAGCAATGCCCTCTTTCACATTTTACATTTGTAGATAAAATTCTGTTTATTAGTTGTACATCATCCTTTTCATTGTTCTAATTAAACTCATTGTAGTTTTGTTGTTTTATTTAATTGGTTGGTCATCTATGTTTACCATAACTTCTCTGTTGCATCAGATGAAACAGAAAGCTCAGAAAGTGGGCCAGAAGAAGAATGAGGATGCAATTTCTAGGTGATTTTGTCGAATTTCATTGCTTTGGCTCTACTTGTGTTGGTTTACATTATTTTCATTGTTTTGGCTCTACTTGTGTTGGTTTACATTATATTAAGTGTTAATACAATTAGACAAATAGAAAAGTATACTGAATAATATTATGTGTATTACATACAATATAATGAAGGCCCATATATATAGGCAAGAAAAAGAAAGAGAATCCTAATCCTACTATATAATGTAATCCTAATCCTATTATATAATGTAAATCCTAATCCAATATATATTACTGACAGCCCCCCTCAAACTCAAGATGGTTTCAAAGAGACCAACTAGAGTTTGGAAAGTAACTCATGAAAGCGACCAGGAAGATGAGTTTTAGTAAACAAATCAGCAACTTGAGCAGCGGAAGAAATAGATTGAAGTTGCCACTATTGACATGCTGACGAATAAAATGATAGTCAATCTCAATGTGTTTGGTGTGATCATGAAAAATATCATTGTGAGTAATCTAAATGGCACTACGATTGTCACAATGAAGAGTAGTAGCAGTGGGATGAAGTACACCCATGTCCTTAAGTAACCAACGAAGCCATGAAAGTTCTTGAGTGGTGTCAGCAAGAGCACGATATTCCGCCTCAGTACTGGACCTGGAGACAGTAGTTTGCTTTTTACTCGCCAAGAAATTAATGAACTTCCAAGAAAGAAACAATATATGCACATAACTCAAGGGGAGTGTGAGGAGAGTAATGAAGTCCATGAAACAAAGTGCCCTTCACATAGCGGAGAATACGAAGAACGGCAGCATAATGAGTAGATTGTGGAGCAGACAAAAACTGACTGGCAATGTGAACTGCATGAGAGCTATTAGACCGAGTAACAGATAGATAGACCAGACTACCCACTAATTGTCGATATGGAGTGGCATCAAAAAGGAGAGTGCCCTCTAAAGAGGTAAGATGAGCATTGTATTTAAGTGGGTTAGAAGCAGTCTTACTTTCCGTGAGACCAGCACGAGATAAGAGATCAGATGCATATTTGGCTTGAGTGAGATACAAGCCACTTGGAGCAGAAGAAATCTCAAGACCAAGAAAATAACTAAGAGAACCCAGATCTTTCATCTCAAAATGAGAGCTGAGAAAATGTTTCAGCTCATGAATGCCATCAAGATCATCACCAGTAATAATCATATCATCAACATAAAGTAATAGAAGAGTAATGCCACGGGATGTCTTGCGAATAAAAAGAGTAGAATCATAGGAACTTGAAGAGAACCCAAACTGAGTAATGGTAGTATTGAACTTGGAAAACCAAGCATGAGGAGTCTGCTTAAGGCCATAGAGAGCACGACGAAGGCGACGAACAGTATCTAGGGGATGCTCATAGCCTGGAGGAGGTTGCATGTAAACTTGTTAAAATTTATCAATAAACCTACCACCACTACCACTTCACCTACTCCACTAAACCTAACCCACTACACCACTACCACCTCACCTACTCCACTAAACCTAACCCACTACACCTACACCTACATCTATATAAGGAACCATTTGTAATAGACAGTAAAATAATATACATCAATCAATAATATACATCAATTTTTCTTACATGGTATCAGAGCAGAGATAAGATTTAGACCTATATTTCTCTCACCGGCGGGCAGTCGGTCGGCAACCTTGCCTTCACTGCCCGCTGGAGATTGGTACACATACCTTCACTCCGCTGCCACAAAGTCTTCTCTTCCTCCGCTTTTCTTTCCTCTCTCAAAAATTCCCCATCATCACTGACGTTCCGACTCTACCATTTTCAAACCTTCATCCTCAACTTCGACAGAACTAGCATCGCCACCACCGTCACCTCCACTCCCCCCGTCGTCCGTTCAATGGCTCCCAGGCTACCGAACCAGTTCCGCAGCCACTCTCCAACTCTGCGTCGGACGCCGTTGCCTCATCTTCCAGCTCCTTCACTCCAAGACTCCACCCACCTTCACCGAGATCTGTAGTTCGGAGACATTGTGGGTCCGTTCGGCGATACGACGATGACGAACGTGTTCGTCGGAGGATTGGCTTGGGAGACTCCCAAGGAGGCCCTCAGAGACCACTTCGATGTCTACGGCGAGTTCTTGGACGCCGTCATCATCTCCGACAAGATCACCGGCCGCTCCAAGGGCTACGACTTCGTGACGTTAAAGGAAGCCGAGGCGGCTAAGAAGGCTTGCGAGGAGGCCACGCCGATCATCAACGGCCGCCGATCCAACTGCAATACTGGCGTCGCTCGGAGCCCGACGCCCCCGGTCCGCCTTGTCCTACATGGTGCCCAACTTTGGAAATAAACTATCACAGAACCTAACAATGAGTGAAGATGAGTAATAATTGAAGTACTAGTACATTTTTATGTTTTTATAAATATTTGCAAAGCTTTACCTGAAACCCTTTTTCTTTTATTTATTTAACCACACACACACTCACCCCACTTCTTCTCTCTCTCCTCTTTTTCAAACCCACAAATTCTTTTTGACAAAAGTGGGGCGGTGGCCAGACAAAAAAAAAAAAAAAAGAGGGTTTGTGTCTGTGGATTAAAAAAAAAAAAAAGTGGGCTCTTAGATGCTTTGCTTCACGAGGCGCACACACATTTCATCATTACATTTCAAACTTTACACACCACCCTTCTCCACTCATGCTGCTTCACGCTACCTCCACTTTACCTTTATTTATTTTATTTTATCTTTTTCTTTTTTTACAAATAAAAATAAAAATAAAAACTAAAAATAAAAATAAAAATAAAAAAAAAATAAAAAAAACCACATAATTTACAAATTTGCACAACACCCATTTTTATTCATCTCCGGGATCAATCCCGATCACCATTTTACACCACACACACACACACAAAAAAAAAAAAAAAAAAAAAAAAAACAGTTTAAGTTTAAAGTTGTGTTTTGAAAACAGATCTTTACTGAAGTCGTGTTTTCAAAACACCTTAGCTTTCGACTTCACATGATTGAAACTAGTGATAGTGGCACAAATCAAATTTTTTAATTTTTATTTTTGAATTCGTTTTTTCAAAACACAATTTCAAGCCTGAGGTCATGTTTTGAAAACAAGATTTAAAAAAATAAAAAATAAATAAAAAACCTTTGAAAGACGCACTTGTATAGGTGGGTGAACAAATCATATTCGTGAGCAAATTGCCTTTGGCAGAGTATTGGGTGATCACTAATCATGAGCCATATGAATTTGCTAGGTAGGTAGGATATTTGCTATACTGGGACACAGAGTTGCTGCATAAGTGTAACCATTACATAATCAGACATCTGCATTAGCATTAGAGATCAATCTAATACATGTGCAATTATGAAAGACCAATTTCTTTAGCTGTCCTTGCTTTCTTTTTTCTGTTCTTTGTTAATTGATTACCTGTCAGTCTATCATTCCTGTCCTGCTACCCTATAGCATAACTAAAGTGTGAACTAAGGCCAGCGAACAGTGTACATCCATGTTAATGTATACTTTTTGAGTCCTGTAACTTTACCTGAATGTGATTTTCTGAGATTTTTACCAATGCTGGTTGTTTTTTAAAATCAAAATTGCCAAATCCAAGCAGTTTAAAACTTATTTCCCAAACCGAAGTTGTTTTGTGTAGTTCTGTTTTAATCCTAGGTTCAATAAATTAGTTTATAACTGCTTAAATTTAAGAATTCTGTTTCAAACAACTTGCATTTGGTAAAAAAACTAGGATTTTCTTGTACCCTGGTATGTGTACAATCAAAAGGGATGTCCAATAATGCTAACATAAATGCTTACATCACTCTAATGTACTGAATTACGAGTAAGATGTTATGTTTGGAGGCTGATACTCTGAGTTGTATAAAACAAACTCTTCCTACGTATAAAACAAACTTTGCTCCAATTATGTTATTTTATTGGGTCCCATCTCAAATTCTAAAGTCTTACTATTGCATATCACATCAGTTGTAAGAAAAGTTTGTACAAATTTATTAAGTGTAAAAACCCTTCCCTATTTCAGTTTCAACCCTTCAGAGTCTACTGTCATGACAATTGAAACTGGTCACTCATTGTTTTTTTCATGAACTTTGCCCCACTTGGAAAAACACTACACTGATGTCCTACTAAGTACTAAACATCATTATTGATTTGAATTGCAGTTGAAGAGAAACTAGTGGAACCAAATCCATTAGTTCTTTGCTTCTCCATTGATACTGTATGTGGTGGAAAATAATTGCCGCATTGAAGAAGAAATGGAGGAGATTATATAAATGCTTATGTATTTTCTTGTTTTGTTCCTCTCTTCAAACTCAAGTTGGTTAGTTTCTATCCTCCTTGAGTTTGCGGGGGGCTGTTAAAATTTATCAATAAACCTACCACCACTACCACCTCACCTACTCCACTAAACACCACTACCACCTCACCTACTCCACTAAACCTAACCCACTACACCACTACCACCTCACCTACTCCACTAAACCTAACCCACTACACCTACACCTACATCTATATAAGGAACCATTTGTAATAAACAGTAAAATAATATACATCAATCAATATTATACATCAATTTTTCTTACAAAACTTCTTCAGTCAGGTCACCATTGAAAAATACATTCTTGACATCCATCTGAGATAAACCCCACTGATGTGAGGCAGCAACAGCAAGTAAACTACGAACAGATGTAAGACGAGCAACAAGAGCAAAGGTCTCTTCATAATCAATACCATACTTCTGAGTGAAGCCTTTAGCAATTAGACGGGCTTTGTAATGTTCAATTGTACCATCAGAATGAGTTTTGATTTTATAAACCCATTTACAACCAATAGGAGTTTTGCCAGAAGGAAGAGCAACCATATCCCATGTATGTGTCTTATGTAAAGCCTGTAACTCATCTACCATTGCTTGCTGCCAAAGAGGATTAGTGCAAGCTTTATGATAGGTATGAGGTTCATGGTTGACTTAGAATGGTAGAAAAACAATGATGATCTTGTAAATAACCTGGCTGTTTAGAGACCCATTTTGAAAGAGGGACAACAGAAGGAGCTTTAGGAGAGTCACTGCAAGAAGAGGGAGGAGACTCTGAAGAACGAGTAACATCAGTACTCTCAGAAGATGGTAACAGAACAGGATCAGCAGGCAGAACAAGAGCATCAAGAATAGTCGAAGAACCACTAGATGGAGAGGCATTTGTAGGAGCATCATCAGGAAAAAGATTAATGACCCGTTTTGAAAGAGGGACAACAGAAGGAGCTTTAGGAAAGTCACTGCTAGAAGGGGGAGGAGACTCTAAAGAACGCGTAATATCAGTACTCTCAGAAGATGGTAACAGAATAGGATCACCAGGCAGAACAAGAGCATCAAGAATAGTCGAAGAACCATTGGATGGAGAGGCATTTGTAGGAGCATCATCAAGAAAAAGATTAATGGAAGGATCAGTGAAATATAAGATGGTGGAAGTTGAAGGAAGATAGAATTTGGAGAGGGAGAAGAACATTTGGTGTTCCCAAAAAATGACATGACGAAAGATACGAAGACGGTGAGAGACAGGATCCCAATATTGAAACCCTTTATGTTCTATGCCATAGCCTAAGAAGAAATACGATCGCGACCGTGGTTGGAACTTGTTGCATTCATGGGGAGGAAGGAGAACAAAACAAGCATACCCAAAGACTCGGAGTTCTGTGTAGGAAAGAGATGTACCATGGAGACGTTCATAAGGGGTTTGATTGTTAATGATAGAAGAGGGGATACGGTTAATAGTGTAAATAGCCGTAAGGGCAACTTCACCCCAAAAACACTCAGGACAACAAGAAGGGATGAGAAGAGCTCTGACTGTATCAAGAATGTGCCTATGCTTGTGTTCAGCACGACCATTTTGCTGGGAGTTATAAGGATAAGAGCGATGGGGAAGTGTACCATGCTCACGAAAAAGTTTTAAAAAACTAGCCTCTTTATATTTTTGAGCATTGTCAGATCGGAAAACTTTGATAGAATAGCCAAATTGAGTTTTAATCATTTTAACAAAATCACAATAAGTTTGAGGTAACTTCGAACGTTGTTTTAAAATATAAATCCAAGTGAATCGGGAATAATCATCCACAAAAATGACAAAGTATTTAGAGCCCCCCATTGTGGTATTGGGAGAAGGTCCCCAAACATCAGAATGAACTAAATCAAATGGAGAGTTTGAAACTGAACCACTTGTATTAAAAGACAAAGTTGGCTGTTTAGCAAATTGACAAGATTGATAATCATTATGATAATTAGAAGAAACAGAGCCTAGATTGCCACTAGATACTAAAGTATGTAGCTGACCAAAAGAAACATGCCCTAATCTAGAATGCCAAAGATCAAGAGAGAGAGTGGATGCGACAAGCTGAGGAGTAGGTGTAGAAAATGGTAGATGAAGATTGACGGGCTCAAATAGATGTCCAATTTTACGCCCTATCCCAATAGTTTGTCCTATCCACAGGTCCTGAACCTGACAACCAAATGAGGAGAAGAGAACAGTTAAACCAAGTTGACAAAGTTGACCAACAGAGATAAGATTAGTGAGGGCAAGAATTTGATAAGCATCAAAGAGAGACACAGTGGAGGTATATGAATATGACTAACATACATGTGAGTGCCATTAGCAGTATGAATAACAGGTAAGGTACTAGAAGAAGTAAAAGAGGAAAAAGTAGTGGAATCTAATGTCATATGATTACAACATGCAGAATCAAAGAACCAAGAAAAGCTACCTGTAGTGACGGATAAGGCAGTGTTATGAGAGGTACCAGAATGTGCCTGTTGAAGCATGGCTCCATATCATTCTGAGAATAATATGGAGCAGATGGATCTATAGGAGGAGTGGAATCCTCAGTAGTAATAGTAGCAGTAGATCAAGAGGCAGGCTTATACCGAGACCCTTGTTTATAGTGACCCCCTCTTGAGTTCCTAGAAGAGTGGTTATTCTGAGATTGTTTCTAAGGATAGTGATGCTTAAAGTGACCAGGCCCTTGTTTGTGACAAGTACGACAATCCCAAACTGGACAATGAAGAAGAGAATGACTAAAATTGAGACCTCGATTTTGACAATACTGACAAATCTGGGTGAAGGAACCAGAAGGAGTCTGTGTGTGAGGAACAGCAAGAACAGTGCCAGTAGTGGGCTTGAGAATACCAAGACGAGTCTCCTTAGACAAGAGTTCAGTTACAGCTTGTTCCAGGGTGGGTAAAGGATCCCGGTGTAATAGAGAAGCTCAGACAGGCTCAAAAACAAGAGTAAGAGCATAAGAAACTCAACCAAGCGGTCCTCTCACGATAATCAACAAAAGACTGGGCATCGTTGTCATCAACCCAAACAGGCTCACAAATAGAAAGCTGATCCTATAAACTATACATGGATGATAAGAAATCATTAATGGACAGACCTGGTGCCTAACCATGAAGACTAGTGCGAATCTGATATCGATGGGAAAGTCCCGTTGTGCGATATCGGTCTTTGAGAAAGTCCCATATAGATTTAGCAGGAGCAAGGTTGGTATCAGTTTGAAATTGCCCAAATTGAAGATGAATTGAAGTAGTAGAGGTGTTCCGAAACCAAGTAATAATATGATAATTTTTTCCGTCCCATGCATCTAAGCGGTTAAGAAATTTGGTTTTAGTTTCATCTGCAGCTTGGACTGGTTTCGTCAGTTCACCAGTAATAACTCGCCATAATTGTTGACCTTTGAGAAAGGCAGACATAGCTTGAGACCAGAGAAGATAATTGGTGCCATCAAAAACAACAAAAATTGGTTGAGCAGAGTCGGAGCAATCCATTTATTGAGAAAATACAAAGAACAGTGTAGAAAAAGGCCGAATCCAAAAAAACGGAGGGCACTATTGAATTCAGAAGGCAAAAAACCTTAGGAACGGGTCTAAATACATCGAAAACAGGGCTAAAACGGAGTGAACCAGATAAAAAATAAACAAGATGACGTCAGCAGGCAGAGGAGGCACTAGGGCTGACGTTAGCTGAGAGGTGCGCCGCTGATGTCAGTGAAGGGCGTGTGAGTGACGTCAGCGAAGGCGGAGAGGCGTACGCGTGGACCTTCAACAGAGGGCACGTATAGGCGCATGGTGCGACTGGTGGCGTGTCGTCAAATGCACCAAGGGAAAGGCGGCGCGTGGAAGCGCATGCGGAGGTTTTTCTGAGTGAGGGCGGTAGCAACGAAATCGTCTTGAGGAGAGGAATGGTCTGATTGCTGTATTTTGTGATTACGGCCACTGATGAGAGAGCCTTGAGGAATCAATAGATCAGGTACCAAGAATTGTTACCAGTGGCTAAGAGTGCCGGTGAGGGAGCCAAGGAACAAGGTTCATGTCATGACTTGAACCTGTCCCTAAAAGTTTGGATCATAACTAGCCAGTAATGACTAGATTACCTTCGGCCTCAAACAAACATACAGAGTAATTAAAGTAATAGGGCCAAAAGCGGAAGTATAAAACAAAAGGAGTTCATTGAGCTATACCAATATGCAAAATGTAACACATCCACGTCATTTACATGCCCATACAAATGAATATAAGTATTAAAGGGAATTGTGCATAATATTTATAACCCAAGATCGCATTAGCAAAACAAAGTAAAATTAAAGTATGATGTGAGTCAAAGACAAAGCTCCATCTTAGAGGCATGACTCAACTGGGTCTCAAAAAGAGTGGCTCCTGAAGCTGACTCTAGGGTTGTACTCCATGCTGCGGGTTACCTACACGTGCATACATAAAATTGGGTGAACGAAGCTCAATGAGTAACAATACGGTAAAACAGTGTAAATATATAATTATAAACAATACCCAAAATCCTATAAACAAACGGCCTTAGGCCCAAACGTGCTTCAAAATGGCCTCGGGCCCAACGTATAACAAAACGGCCTCGGGCCTAACATATAACAAAACCGCCTCGGGCCTAACATATAACAAAACGGCCTTAGGCCGAACATATAACAAAACAGTCTCGCGCCTAGCATATATCAAAACGACCTCGCGCCTAACATATAATAAAACGGCCTCGGGCCCAACATATATCAAAACAGCCTCGGGGCCAACATGTATCAAAACGACCTCGGGCCCAACATATAACAAAATGGCCTCGGGCCCAACATATATCAAAACGGCCTCGGACCCAATATATAACAAAACAACCTCGGACCCAACATTGCACATGTAACATAATATTAATGAGGTTTCTCATTTCAAACAAA